GGACATACAAATAAGTTGATTAAATTCTTCCAAGGTAAGAAATGTATCCCTCTTTGTGAGAAGCACAGCACCTACAATGTTATCCTATTTACAAGTACAGATACATGAGAAACATTAAAAACAAATAGGGAAAAAAAGATAGTGGGATATAGGCAGGAAAAATTCAATCATATTGAGTTATTGACCCTCAGTTAATATTAAAGATTAAAACCTGAATTAAGCCTCTTTTAGGATCACCACGAGTAGGAACAATATACTGGTTATCAGCATTGACAATATTGTAAGCTTCAGCCCGGGAGATCTCATCTTGTGGAAAGTGAACATTAATTTCATCACCGTCAAAATCAGCTAGCATTGAAGGAGCTGAATCAAAACAACCACCAAGTAGTGACAAGTTAAGCATCAAAAATCTAGCAGAATTATATACCAAAGAATCATTGTAGGAAGAAAAACATACTCGCAGTTAGCATAATGAAAACGAAGAGTCCTCTCTTCAGGCAAGACACGAACAGTAAGTGCAATCATACTTGGTTTATGGAGAGTTGGCTGTAATTTACAAAATGTATCAGGGACTAAAAAAGCATTAGACAGAAGTAATTTATTATCTCCTCATACAGTCATACCTGGCGATTTACCAGAACTATGTCCCCATTACGCAGGTGACTCCTCTTGAAGATGATAATTTTTTTGCGAAAGCTACCCGCGATTTCCTACTGCATGATAGTTTATAATTTGATACTTTATCAGCATAGTGTGTGGCACCAGGGTGAATCTCAGGCCCGTTGAGAATGGCATCCTTTAACTTTGTCAAATTCCATGGTGTCACTCTCTGCATTGACAACATAAAACTTCAATTGAAACCACAACCTTATTGTCCAATATTAACTCTCTTCCAAGGTTGCAAAAGCTTAATTTCAAAGAGATCAATCTCACCTCTGGATAGGTCAACTTTAATGCAAAAACAAGAGGAATACCAATCTCATTGGTAGCTAAATAAGGATCAGGTGATATTACAGAACGACAAGCATAATTAACTGTTTTCCCAAGCATCTTGTGCCGGAATATGCCTTCCTTTTTATCCAGCATTTTACATATTCCAGAAGTCTTATTTCTTTGTGCTAGACCTGACAATGTGGATAAATTAAGGGTGATCAAAGAAGCTTTATTTAGGCAGCAACTTGTCATTCTATGAACAAGACAAGACATAGTCACACATGATCAGTTTCAGCAAATTTATCCAAACAAAGACAAGACAAATTTATCTAAAGCAGCTAATAACCGGTATATTCTGGAGAAAATCTGTGTGATACTAGGATACTAATCAAAACAACATCTACACTTGTTAGAGTTACTGAAACTATGAATAGAATCATAACAAGACGTAACGCAAGATGAATTTCTATCACATGTTTGAACAAGGTCATAATATGAATACCATGGACATGAAGATGATGATTGATGAATAAACAAAGATGCAGACTCACCTGCTGCACGCTTGTTGTTAAAATAAACATTTATATATTGTTGAAGATTCATCCACCTACTAAGAATAACATCAATCTCAGCATGCTGCTCATAAGCATTAGCCAAGGACACATTAGCATCCAAAATCTTGCCCAACAGAACAGTTTGAGGATGCTCCGTAACCTAAAAGAACAACAATCATAACCCTGTAAATGTGAGTGTGCATTATAAAGATGTAATACAGCAACACAACCAAAAAGTCATCAGCAGTAACAATGAAAGGCAGAATCACTATTATACCAGTTGTAAACTTGTAGCCAAAACCAAAACTTTGCAGTCATAAAACAAAGTTCATAACTTGCATCTAACAAAAGGAATTATTCTCTCAAGGTCCTCATCTAACAAATCCTTGCCTCTAAAATGAATCATACTAATGTCCTTGATGCTCTCCCCAAGTCCAATCACTTCCACATCCCAAAAAAGCCTAGAATTAGTTCTCATAGTTTTCTTATACCATATTAGCCATTATTACATGAATTATATCACAAAATTAAAAGGGAATTATCACTACAGAACTACTCTATGATACTAGAGTATACTTTAAACTTCATGATCCGTAATAAACTACTTTAAAAAGTGACCTGATAATTCATGCTTTCTCTCTAGTAGTCTAGTGTCAATTATCAAAAAAATTCTTTTATTGTATTTTTGAAAGAAAAAAAAAGGCACAAAGACAAATAGTTAGCCAGCTTAACAAGCTTGATAAAAGATAATCACCTTCATAAATCACAATAAACAAGCAGCGAAATCTTCCCAGGTTAGTTGGGGTGTACAAAAGAGAATATAGTTGAAACTTACTAGTACACCTTTCGAAGCATTACGAAACTTCGTAGGAGGCACAAGAATAGTTTTTAAGAAGAACAACGTAAAAGCTGATTTCTTCTGAGATGTATTGTGAAGTTGCCGAATATCAAAAATGAATGAGCATAACCAAGCCTCATTTTCCCAAAGACGCTCTACTATCCCTCTGACCTGCAAATATCAAGTTAATTGCATCATGTCCATGTTAGTATTTATGCAATACCTCTTGCTAAAGCATCAAGAGCATACATAAAACTAGAAAAGCTTGAGCCACAGTTTGAACTATCCTTATGATATATGATCTGAAAAAGAGAAATAACATACTTCTGTTGGCAATAGAGAACGTGGTTTTTTCCACTTCATATATTTTAACAGCACATCATCATTTATTTTCCTCCGCTTGTTTGATGGACCTTCAACATCTCCTTCATCCATAAGTTCATCCAACTTATGCCCTCTGATAATATTTGCCTTTGTGTTGTCATCACTCCAGCCACCCTAAAAAAGAGTAATTATATAGATATCAACTTAGAAAGAAAGAAATCATATTAATAGTTTATATAATCAGTTAGTCAATGATTAAACATTCAGAGAAAATTTTCCTCATTTAGTCTCAACAAAAATGTTCTGTAAACATTTTTCTGGTTTATAGCAGCAATATTTATAAATCCCAGTTCACCACCGAAACTCAATACAGTGAACAGAATGAAAAACAAAATCATGTTGGCAGAAGAAACACATAACTAATAAATCCATGTTCAATATTTTGATAGAATACATTTACAATTTAAAATTATCATTAACTACTGTGTTAATGTAAATGCATCCTTATAACTCCAGGATAGATTCCGAGTATTCCCTGCAACTCATAAGTTAGACTCCATGAACTCCTCCATACACCAGTATAATACCCAATCAAAAGGAGTAGGGAAGACAAAGCAATCCTTAAATTACGACTGTATTTGACTAAGTTTTCAGAATCAATCTCGTTCATCTCAATATATAGACAGCAGAATAACCAAATAAAGTATTTTCAAATAAACACAAAGTAGTCATTACACACATACGACTAACTCAACCAAAAGGGAAAAGTAATCGAAATTTGCAGCTTGTTAGTATATATATTTACCATGTGAATCAAACCAAAGGTTGGTTTAGTAATGGGAGGACTCTTGACATCACAATGACTACACTTGGTCCTTTTCTTCATCATGAAATTATCCAAGACTGATAGTGTTTCAGAAAGCTGAAAAGAGGTCCAAACATCATCACCCCTATTATCACTGTCCTCGTGATCATTACTTAAAACACGACCATCATCATGTAACTCTCTAGCACCAGAAACATCACCCTTGATTATAAGGTTCAACTTAGAGATGCACATTTCAACCTGCAAGCATTTTAAAAACCGTACCAATCAACATTCATTTAGGCATGATACATACGTCTAAAAAATCATATATACAAGCAAGAAATCAACAAGGAGCTTAACAAGGACTAAGGGTCTATTCATATTTACTGAACTGAGCTGAACTGATTGGAGCTGAGCTGAACTGAACTAAACTGAACTAAGCTGAAATGAATATTTTATGAGAGAGGGAAATTAAGAGCTGAACTGAACTGATTGGAGCTGAACTGAACTGAACTGAACCTGAAAATAAGTAAATATGAACAGGCCCTAACTAGGTTCATTATATTATTTGCCACGACGAAATAGTATATTACCTCCTCTTGTGATGCCTTGAATCGGTAACAAATCAAACAAGTGTTCTGTACAACACGTACGAGCCTATCGAACAATAAAGGGTGGTAAACCGGTGACACAAGATCAATGTGACCAAAATGTCCTGGGCAAAAAATGGTCACGAAGACCACACTTTTTGCAACTGTACATAAAATAAAACAACAATGTCTTAAAACAGACAATATGCACATTCTAACCATCAAACAAAACAATCAACAAACATAATGCCACCCCCTTAATTAATTATACTCCGTAACCAAATCTCAACCCTCACGATTTTTTTTGGTCCATCAAATTTGCCCGTATTAGAAAGTAATTAATCGAATTTGCCCGTGCCACAGCATTATAATAATCATTATTTGTCGCTTTTTGCACAATTTTCAATGCAATATTGTAATTAAAATACTCGTACGTCGAAATAAAATAAAATAAAATGACATACAGAGTATAATCATTCATCGGACCCAAAAGAGGATCATAGAGGCCACCAGGGAGAGGCCGGCCAACAGTGTCAAGCATATTCGGGTTCGTAATATTAATAACGCTAAGTTTCTTTGCTTCTTCATCCGTCATTAACCCGAATTCCACTTCCTTCACACATTCTGTTGCTACCTATAAATTCAATCACAAGAACAAATTAATTTTTCAAAATAAAAACATAGAATTATAGACTTAATCAGTTGCTCAATTTTTTATTTTTTTTTTGAGGAAATTAGTTGCTCAAATTGATTATACCTCTGTTCCATTCATCTTCAAGATTATAGAGAATTGAACCCAAAATTCTCTCTCCTCTCGTGAAATCACTCTATTTATAAGAAGAAGATAGAAAAATAAAACAAAGTTGGAGTACTTTTTCGCGAATTAGTGGATTTTCATGGGTAGTAGTACTCGTCTCCCTACAGACGGCACCAAATTGTTTCGGATGAAAACAATGGGACCTTGCCGAAGGTACGATGAAGTGGATGAAGACTGGTCCGGTCCAGTGGATGTTGGGCCGAAGGTTTCATGCACAGCAAACACACGTAAACTGGCCTCGGGGGTGGATCCGAGGAAGACTCCTCCGATGCCGAAGTCAAACAGTGTATTTAGAGAGGAAGCTATGCCAGAGATTTAATGCTTGAGGCTTTTGTGTATATCATAAATGAATCAATTGAAGGCTTTTATACCTTTGTCTATAAGGAGAGGAGAGTAATTGGGCCCTTAAATAGTCATGGGCTGACCACAACAATTCGGACCAAAGGACTCATGGCTGACTTGGCTTGATAGGAGGCTTGGGCCTTGAACTTGGAATATTGGATCATTTAACGACCAGGCTCAATGAGATAATCGGACCCAAACAAATGACTAGGCCCAATTAGATAAATTGGACCCAAACAAGCCTAATTTGATAATTGAATCAAATTTACTTGTTAAAATTGCTATTTTTTTTATTTATTTTTTTTGTTAGTGATATTTGGATTTAATCAAGTATTAGTGTTGGGTAACTTGGGTTACCTTTGATTATATTTATACTATTGTATTTGATTAGAGTATTGTTTAACATTGTAGTTTGTATTTTGTGATCAATATGGAGCCTGCCTTAAAATCTTGCAAGCACAAGGTAGGTGTATTATTCATTTTTGTCCATTACAAATATACTCAAATTCGCGTTATATCCATGATAATTCATTACTTCAGTGTTCCGAAGTAAAAGGGGGTGAGTTCATTGCTGAGAATGATCGAATGAGTCAGTTGCCACATGATGTTTTGATGACAATCATGTCTCTTTTAACAATGAAGGAAGCCGGAAAAACAAGTATTGTATCACACACATGGTATAACTTGTGGCGTTGTTTACCTGTCTTGTTCTTCAAAGTTGATCCCTACTCTACAATCAAAGATAAACTGTTACTTCCGGAACAAAGATCAGGTTCGATAATTTTGATATATGAAGTATAATATAAGCTCACTTATAAATTACTATGTTATTGTTATAAGTGAATTGAACTACTTGTGTATCAGGTTTTACGGGGTGGGTTAACAGTGTGGTGGGAGCTCATCTTGGTCCTGTTATTGATGAGTTAAGGGTGATTTTCGATTTGGATGTCAGATTAGAATCTGATATCGATAAATGGGTGATTTTTGGATTCTCAAAACAAGTCAAACACCTTGAATTGGACTTGACACCATTCTACAACAGAAGTATTTCCTTGATTGACTGTTATACTTGGCCTCTTGACTGTCGTATATCATCTCTTGCTCTGCTTGGCAATATGACATTCTTAAGATCTTTGTGTCTTAAATATGTGAATGTATCTGGAAAAGACGTCGAGTGTCTTCTGCGTGTGTGTTATGCCCTGGAGGATCTTTGCATTGTTAATGGGTCAATCGACTGGACACATATAAATCTTCCGGATTTGTCTTTACAATTGAAGCATCTAAAGGTATTAGATTGTCCCCGTTTGATGAGCATTGACATTAAGGTCCCAAAACTTGTGTCATTTACTCATCATTGGCGGCCTATAGACCTCCATATTAGAGATTCGCTACTGCTTTCCAAGGTATCAATCGGTAATGGTGAGTTTCAAGGAGAGATTGTAAATCATGTTCTTAACTCCCTTTCAACGTGCTTCTCGAATGTCAAGTTCATGAGTTGGGACTTTATGTTGGATCACCCATTTGTTGACAACCTTGTCAAGGTATTCCAATAGATGCCATTGTGAATAAGTACTACTCCGGTTGCTTTATTTATGTATTTATTTTGTAAGTATCATTTTCTTTTGCAGGTGAATATGGGGATCAATAACCCACCTTGCATGACAAATCTCAAACATATGGAATTCCATGTTACATCAAAGGGTAACGAAAGCCTACTTGGATGGGCTGATTTTATTGAGGCATCTCCATTCTTGGAGAAACTCACTATGAAGGCAAGACACCCTCACCTTTTTCACATATTGTTTCAAATATATATATATATATATATATATATATATATATATATATAGGAAAAGGTTCTCGTGACAACTCCTTCTCCTATATGTGAGAACCCTTTTAATATGCGAGTATTGTTGCTCATTTGATAAATGAGCGCATTATTTGTTCATTATCAAATGTTGCTTACTCATTGTCATTGCAACAATTCTCACAAAAGGGTTCTCTTTCACATAAAGACCCATTCTCACCAGATTCCGGCCCTATATATATTTGTATAACCATTTCTGGAGTGTTTTGCTTAATGATGATTGTGATTTTTCCCATCTTGCATTGCAGTTCTCCATATTATATAACATGAATACTGAGTTTAGGAGAGATATAGTCAAACACAAAGGGCGTCCTCTAAAAAGCTTGAAGACATTAGAGCACATTGGCATTCTAGGACTACCAATTGACATCGAGTTTGCTACCTATGTAGTCGAGAATTCCATCATGCTGAAAGATGTATTTTGTTGTAAATTCTGGGGCCTGAACAAATTAGAAAATCTACAAAAAAGCGTATTAAGGAGTTTAGAAATACTTTGCCCGAAGGAGTCACCTACAATGGCTTCTAAACTAGTACGAGTAGTATCTAAATTTTCACTAGTTTCAGGGATTCAAGTGTGCCTTTATTTATTTTAGATTGGTGATTATCTTCCATTCATAGCAGAAGCAATAGTAAGAAGGCGATCAAGGTCTCAAGGGTGAACTAGCAATGTGAAAGGTTTGTGTTGTGACTTCTTATGTGTCAGGTAATGAAAATTTAAGAAATAGAGACCGGACTGATTAAGCTAGGACTTGATCGGAAAAACAAGTATAAAGACCAGACTAAATCTTATTGGTTATTTTAGAAAATTTAAATAATATTATGAAAAAAGTTGAGGAAAAACAATTTGGTAATGTTTTTCTGTAGTAAGGGTTTATTCTATTCGGCTTATTTTTTAGTTTAGTTCAGTTTCTAAATATTTAGTTCATCTCAATTCAGTATGAGAACAAACCATAAAGCTCTGTTCAGTTCACCTTAAAATAAGTTCAGATAAGTTGTGATAAGGGTTAATCAAGCCCAGATTTAATTTATAACTAAAATAAGTTCTAATAAGGGTTGATAAGTTCAAATAAGTAAAAATCAGGTGAATAGAACACACCCTAAGTCGACACAAAAAAGCTCCTAAAATAAAAGTTTTCCTAATTAATTAGAGATAATTTTTTATCATTTATAAAGATATTTTTGCGTAATTAAAGCAAAAAATTGGTTAGATCATTGTTTGAATCCTCAAAATAATGGTATTTTGACATTTAAATTCTTATTATTTCGTACGTAATGATTGATTACCCAGACTCATTTAGCCATTCAAGCCCAATAATCACCCACACCACAACTCAATCTAGCCCAAACTCTACAACCTCACCAGGTCCAGCTCATTCAACCAAACCAAGATTTAACCAAGCCTAACAAGTAAGCCTTTGCTAACTGGTATCGGTCAATCAAATTTTCTTTGAGTGAATTTGAGATTTTTTTTTTTTTTTTTTTTTTTTTTTTTTTTTGAAACAAGTGAATTTGAGATTTAAATATAGAGGAATATAGAATAATTGACATATTGTCAAATATGCCAATTCAAGCCTAACTACTTATTTAGGTAATATGAATATGATAATTGATCATCATCATGAAATCATGCTTATCATATATCTTTATAATCATTTCCTACAAGGTACATTATTAATTTTTACTAACCAAATATCTTGGATAATGTACATTATTAATTTTTACTAACCAAATCCTACAAGGTACTTCCTTTAGGGGTTTGAAGTTTTGAACCGGTTAAAAGTATTTGTTAGATTTGTTCCAAAACTCTCTCAATTAAACATCTTCAACAAAGGCTAAAGTTAGACAAAAGCTAAAGTTATGGGAGATGATTTAATGCCTAACAACTGAGATATCATGTTAACAACTTGTGTAAATAAACCTTTTGATCTTTTACTTGCGTAGTTCTGTTTTTAAATTGATTGAAAAGTCAAAAGTAGCAAATTCAGTAACAGTTCCTATATTTAATTTCACATAAACTCGAAGTCATAAAAACTTTCAAAAGTCACGAAAATTACTATGTAATAAGCAAAAAATTGTCATTGAAATGGATGACAATAAAATTCAGACTTTCAAGGATCTACTAGAGGTGTTGCCTAATGTTCAGCCATGAACCCAAAGGATGCAACAAGGCAGCAGATCTTTTGGCCGGTGTAAAACTAGTGCCACTAACGATCGTAATCTAATGCTTTTGAGCTATTAGCCAAACTTTCTAGCTGATGTAATTATGGAGAACAGACCTCCCTAATTGCTTTGTAATGTTGAACTCTTTATCAATCTATTCCCCGGCTTACATCAAAAAAAATTCAGACTCTGCATCAAATAATAACACTAATTTCATACTTGTTGAGCCACATTTTCATTCTATTCTATACTTTCTTCAATAAATGGTTGGCTTTTCTTAGCAGCCCCATACTTCTACAGGTGTACTGCATGACTGAACACTACTAAAACGGAGGATCAACACGATGAATAAGCTTTGCTAGACGATGAGAACTTGTATAACACATTCGTCAGCTTAGCCGTGTTTTATCTATCTAAACATTTTGGATATAGGATTTATCTAAATAAATCTGAAGTGTTTGGAGCAGAGAATCGATTTGTAAACATCGTCAGTAGTCATAGCAACACTCAAACTGGCATTCAATCACATTCTAAGATTAAGCAAGATACAAGTACATGAATCCATAGATATAACGCTTCATTCAAGTGATTGAAACACAAAATATGTCTACAAAGAAACAGGTCCAAAAGACTGAAATAGAAAAAAGTTCCTATGAATTGTGACTCTCAAAATTGCACTCCAAAATAAATCAACCTAAAGGCAGCAAATTTAGTGGTCAGGCATGTTCTTGATGATATCTGAGTCACCAGCTTCGATAATGCTGAGGCAACACACCCTGTAGTACTTCCCGCAGGCAGTTCCAAGATCAACATTGTCTGTAAATCACGCAAACAGGTTTCCAAATTAATATACACCGAATTATTCATCAACAACAATCACTTTTCTCCAAGAATTTGAGAACTGTAGAATTCATCGAACTACATATATGGATTATAAACGAGATTGCATTATGGATGGAAGGGCTACCAAATTAGAGTGTACAAACTAAACAGAAGAACAAGTTGCCAATAGCCATTACAACAAGTTGTAACTAATGTCATGTAAACCAAGTATCAAGAGGTAATAATGAGTAATGTACAAAAAACCGAGAAATACTTACTTCCGTTGTAGTGGTGAACTCCAACCTTGGCCAACATAGCATAGTACTCAATCTCAGACTTCCTCAAGGGTGGGCAATTGTTTGAGATAATGATCAACTTAGCTGAAATAAATAATAATAACACGTTTTAGTACGACATTTTAACATCATCAAAACAGAGTTGAACAACAACAAAAATGATAACCATTGAAACCCAAACTAAAGCATAATTCAATGACTACAAGTGCAAATAAGGCAAATGAAATATACGTGCCTAAAAACCGAAAATATTTAACACGAGTTTTCACATGAATGCAAACACTCAGTCCAATGTAACTAAATGCACTGCATCATATTTTCTAACAAGTCATTTCGGAACCCTACCAATCACATACTAGTATACTGCCAATAAGCAATACATATCACTAACCCATGAATCACCAAAACACTCATTTCATCACAACCCTCATATTCGGCTATTCATCATTAATACTATAAAGTAGCAATTAAACAACATATCAATAATTGTATCACTATACTGCTGCAAATAGTCTCACACCAATATTTCTCAATCATTCTAACAATTTAATTAGGATTAAAACAATAACATAAATTACTGGATTATCTACCTAACATCTTAGCATAACATTATATTCAACTAAAATTATCTCAAATACAAATTTAGATTTGCAAACAAGCAGAATACCACAAATTTCTATAAATTTAAACAAAAAATTAAAAATCATTCCTCAAAAATACGATAAACCCATTTCAAATCAACGCAAATGGAACAAAAAATTACAGCCAACAAAAATTAGGGTTTATAAAAGAACACACCTTTAGAAGATCTGAGGGTTTTGAGAACAGTCTTGTAACCAAGAGTGTACTTTCCACTCTTCATAACAAGAGCCAATCTGTTGTTGATGCTCTCATGAGTCTTCTTCTGCAATTCAACCCAACATTCAAGATTCAATTTTTATCCATGAAATCAAAAATAGATCAATTAAACTGGAAACAATAACATGAATTTCGAAGTAAGAATAAGAAATTAGGGTTTACCGTCTTCTTTGAGGGAGCCATGACAGCTTGAAGAGAGAGAAAGCGAGGTTGAATGAAGAAGGAGAAATGAACGAGCGGCTTGCTCCTCTGTTTAGGGTGGGAATTAGGGTTTAGTAGAAATCAGGTTATTTATAGATTGACGATTTCTGTAAGCCCATCAAAAAATATAGACTTTTATCTTTGTTGGGCTACTAATTGGCCCATTTTACTATGGGTGGAAGTCTACGATACATTGATATTAAATGTTAGGTAAGTTTGATACACGAGTCCTTTGGTTGTCGTTTTTACTTGACTCGAGTATGTTCTATTCGGATTATTTTCAGTTTAATATTCAGTTCAGTTTTTATTTTCTTTCTCTCATAAAATATTCAATTTAGTTTAATCCTGCTCAGTTCAGTCAATCAGAATAGGTCATTGGTTTGATTTTTACACTATTTTATCAAATTACAAATGTTAAGTACATAGTTATAGGTTTATTTTACTAGTATATGTTGAGAAATTGAATATGTTTTTTATTTATATTATTTTGATAATAACATAATAATTTATTAAATGGCTAAATAAAAATCAGAAGCGATTACCTCCTCAAATGTCGACATAAAGCCCTACTCATACTTTAGTCAAATCAATCTAAGGAAACAGGATAAGTTGTAGATGAACGACTACATTAGCTTCCTTAATGGCATTAACAAAATTTACTAAAGGTCAAATAAACTCGTCAGTAGTAAGATTATCTTTTACAATGATTCCAATATACTAATTAGGTTGCTTTTTTTTTTTTGTTGGTCCTTCACCGAGTGTCGCAAAATAGCCGAGAAATTGAATATGTTGATGATAAAATTTATACATTGACAAGTGTAATACTTCCTCCGTTCTATTAATATTGTAACAATGGACTTTTTGTACTATTCATCACTCTTGTTTGACCATATAATATGAGTTATACATTAAGCAAAATATAGTCAAGTGGGAATTTGTTGGATTCGTCTAATATAATACTTTTACAATATCAATTTTTTATAATTTTTACTCTTACACAATTATAGATATTTAACATATAAAATGTGTTTTGAGATGCGTAATTTCCTCCTTGTTACAATATCAACAAAACGGAGGAAGTATATAAGTTGAGTAATAAAATATAAACAAAAGGAAGTATGATTTTTCTTTTCTTTGGTGTTTTTTGAATGAAGATATTTATTGAGTAGATGTTATAAGTGTCATAATCTTTTTTCAAAAAAATAAGTGTATATCATGTGTCATAATCTTGTTTCTACCCAACTCATATAATACCATGGCGATCATTTTTTTTCACTGGAATTAGTATTTGCAATCCCGGCCCATAGCATACAACAATTTAT